AGGAAATAAGGGTGGTACTAGAATTAAAAAAAATATAAAATCTATGCTTGAACGTTTTTTCTTAAACGGAAATCTAAAAAAAAAAAATTTAAAATATTAGTTTTACTTATATTTAAGCAAATATTCTTGCGAATTTTAATGTCTCATTTACCTTTTTTTAAAAAAAGGATCACAGGGTAATTATTACGGATTATTAAACTAAAGGTTCTTTATTTTAAATTAGTATATCATTTAATGTAAAGTAGAATACCACAAAAATGCAAAAATTTTGGCTCTAGAAAGACCATCAAGAGCTAATCAAATTGTGGATTATCGGTAGATTATTCCAGAAGCATTCTAGAACTGTTATCCATTTTTGGTAATATCTTTGACTGTAATAGGTCCTACACTGAGGAACTAGAGACCTAGACATTATATGACAGACTTAATTATACATGAGCTATCTTATGAGTATGATAATAAATTAAGAGCTACTGAGCTGTCTATAATGAGAATATATAGATTTAGTATAATACAATAATTAATTTTGTATTATATACTGATAATCATTATGATTATACAACATGTACTTATATACTATATATATATATATACACACCTATATACATATATACACACCTATATACAATATATAGTACAAATAAATTTGACTATAGCAATAAAATAATAAACTTCAATATTCATTGTTGCTATTCTAGTCTAGTTTCCTTATTCAACAATTTGTAAAAGAATATTAATATCATAAATAAAATTAATTTAAAATCATTAAAGCTTTCTAATTATCAACCTGAAGTAATAGTACTATCCGATTCAGATAATGAGTCAATTGCAGTGGTATTTATAATTAAATTTGTATACAAAAATGCTTTGTATTACATTATAATTATATTATATTTGTTAACAAAAAGAAAAAAACAGAACCTTTCATTTCTGAAGAAGTATCTAAAAATAAATCAGGTAGAATTAGTGTAACAAGAAGTAATAATAGATTTATTCAAAGACAACTGAGCATTTTATTATATGAATCTAATAGCACAGATAAATCTGGTAGTGTTTTTGAAGTCTCTTCATATTCTAAATCATTGGTTGGTAAAACAATTGATATTTATATAGTAAAAAAATTAAATAAAATATAAGTATTATATTTATAATAGTTTAATATTAATATTATTTTATTAATAGAGTTTAAAAAATGATATAATGAATTCTGCAGTTAATGACAGTTTTGAAGATAAGTTAGCTATACTTAATAATAGTTTAAAAAACAACATAGTTAATAGTAGTTTTGAAACTAATAATGAAAGTAATTTATTTGCTTCTGATTTAGTAAGTAAAAAAAGTAAATACTAGATATATTTTATAATTTTATTTTGTTATTAATTTATTTTAAATAATTTAATTTTTGATTTAATTAGTATCAGCTAATATTTGCACAATTTGGATGAAATTTAACTGTTGATCAAATTGAATATTTTCTTGAATTTCAAGAATATCCAAAAACTTCCTCTACTAGAGTTGCTAGTATATATAATGATTCTGGATGGGAGCCAGATAAAGCAAAAAAAGCATTTAGAATTGCTAATCTTCAATATTCCTATAGAAATCTTAGAAATATTCAATCAATCAAAAAATGTCCATTCTTGAATATACTTGTATACAAAACTTACCAAACTTGTCTTAGTGTTAAAATATATGAATTTAATTTATCAGAGCTTAATATTGAACATATATTTGTTGATTTTGAAAATCAACTATATAAGAAGATTTTTGATGCAAATAAATCTTCAGTTCATACTATTACTTTTAAGCAAGTATTTTTTTAATTTAAATTATTTTATAGTATAATTTTTTTATTTTATTTAATTTTAGCACTTTTGGTCAAACACATAATAATTTATATTCCTATATTGATCCAATTACAAATATTCAATGTAATAATAAACCTGTTCTCAGAGAATTTAAACAGGTAATATAATATTAATTTAATTATAAATTATATTAAATTACTATTTTTAATTTAAAATATATTATAATTTTAGACAAATAATTCTGCATTATCTATTTGAAAATTTATTGGTTGTGAAAATTATAAATTGGGACAAAAAGAATATTATTTTATACCAATTAATCAATGTGTAAATTTAAATTATCACGAACAACTTTTTCAAAATTATATTTATTGTTCTGATGTAATAGATAAAGAGATATATATTATTTATTATTACTTATTATTATTATTATTATTAATTTAAAATTTTAAAAATTTAATAGGATCAAAATAAAGTTATTGATAAATGCTTTACAGTTCTTTCGAATTCTTCTATGACAAGTTATTGTTGTAAGTAAAATAATAAATATATATTATATTTTAATATATTATAAGTTTAATATTAAAATTAATATATTATTTTATTAATTTAGCATTCTTTCATAAAACTGATACTCAAATTGTAAAAGGAAAAATTATTAATAAAGGAAGCTGCTCTGTAAAATTTTATCATATTGTACCTAATGATTTGACTGAATGTCCATTTATTATAATGATTTTTGTTGGTATTCATAATCACTCATCTCTGCCAGCTATTAAAACACTACAAAATATAATAGAAAATTTACAAAAAATTATTAATAATGAGTATGATCTTGATCTTACTGCACGTAAGCTTCTTACAAGTAAGTAAAATTTTAAATATATATATTATTAAATTTTTAATATTAAAATTAATTTATTTAATAAATAATTAAATTAGAGCCAATACTTAAAATATATCTTCAAGGAAAGCCATTAAGTAGTATCCATCCATCTTTAAATAATCAATCACAGCTTAATTACTTAATTAAAAAAAATAAATGATCAAAATATATATTTGGGCAGGATATTATTGGTATATTTATTTATTATTAATATACAGTATTATAATTATAATAAATAAATTTAATTATTAATTTATATTTTAGGAGTTACTTATAAATTATTAAAGCAAAAAAATTTACCAGATCTATATATTTGAACTGCTAGTAAGTAAATAAAATAATAATATTTATTTATTTATTTATTTATTTAAATATAATTAAATTTCTAATTAGGATTTTTTGATAATGGTCAATATCTTGTTTTATATACATGAAAAGAACAAACAAAATTATTTGCACAAACATTATATGCAGAAATTGATATGGCTTTTAAATAAATTCATAGAGCTACAAATGAATGAAAAATCTGTGCATATATTAATTGTTATCAAAAAAGTAAGTAAAATTTTATTATAAAAATAATAAATATATTATTAATTTTATTATTAATTTATAGCATTGGTTTTTGCACGAGCTTTTACCAATATCCAATTAGCTAATGCATATCAGCATTTATTCGAAGATTTATTTACTATTGTCAAAAATAATACACAAAAAAGTTTTAAATTTTAGCATATTCATGGAAGCGGATTAGGATGCTTAATTGCTAATAAACAACAAGGACAAGCACTTAGTAAATTGTATAATACTTTATTTTATATTTATAAATAAAAATAATTAATTTAAATTTTATTTAAAAAGGTTTTGGTCAATATCTTCATTCAAAATATAATTATTTATCCGCTGAAGAACATTTACAACATATATATAAATTATGTCAAATATATTTTAATCAGTTAATTAATTAGCTAATATAATATATTGTATAATTATTAATAATTTATATTATTTACTAAAATATAAAATATTTATATTATATTAAATAATATTCAAAATAAATCTATTTCTGATGAAATAAAAACATTAATATATTTAATACCAATATTAAAAACTCAAACACAAGTATTTGAAACCTTAGATAAAATTAAAGAATCTGGTGAATTAGAAGTTAAAAATATTTAATTTAAATTTTATAATTATAGTATTATATATAAATATTTTATATTAAATTATTATTAAATTATGTATATTTATAGATTGGGTTTTAGATAAAATCTAAACTATGAAAATTAGCTGAACTTTCTTTGGTATTTACCAAAATGAATAATGATACTTGGAATCAAACACCTAATAACACTAATGCAAATAAATCTGCACATGCTAACATAAATCTAGATGGTCAATCTTTATCTTTTTTAGTAGCAATCTATCAGTTTGTATTATAATTTTACTATTTATTTAAAATATTATATAAAATATATTAATATTAATTGATAATCCACCAGTTATCTGAAGAAATTTATATAGTACAACGTGACGCAGATCATATATATGTACAACACAAATTGAAATTTTAAG